AAAGGGAGCTCCTGCTGCCAGGGGAGCCGCCCAGCGCAGGTGGAGGGTTGGGGGCCGGGAGGGGTGTCCTGGAGGGGCTTTGCCTGGGGGATCAAGATGCAGTGCAAGGGGCTCTGCAGCAGGCTGGTTGGGCAGCAAGGACTCGGTAACCGAGAAGCTGAGGAGCAGGGGCTGGTATTCAGCTGATGGTCCGGGGTGTTGGGTGGTGATGGTGATGAGCACCAGCAGTGCCAGGGCATGCCAGAGGGAGAGGGATTGGCAGCTGTTAGTCACATCTGACAGACTGCTGTGAAGGGGAGAAGCGTTGGTGTGGAGGCGTGCTTCTGCTTCCTTATCTTGGAAGTTTTGCCATAGAATAGATTTGTGTTTCATTAACAGGTTGTCTACTTGGTGCCAGCTGCCCTGACGCTGCTTGTCAGCATTAACCCTTCAATAACAGGTATGTAAACCTCTTCTGTGGAAACATGTTCTGCTGACCTTTTGAGGGCAAAAAACTGTGGGACCCGCTTCTACAAAAGCTGGTCATTGGTTTAGTGCTCGTGGTTGGACGTGCTTGTAGGTGAACAGATGAGCCTTGCATAAAGGCCTGCTGCTGGGATGGTCTTACCTTTGCACCCCAACTCCAGTGCTCAAAGCCTGAGTGGAGCACAAGCCTGGGAGCACACTCTGAACCTGGCTCTGGTGTTGATGTTAGCACATTAATTCACTTTGTTTCCTTGTTGTAAATCTCTGGTTTTGATTATCTACCTCACAGAAGAGCAGTTGAGCTCTACAAAGTCCGTTGAAAGAGCTAAAGGTCCTTGTCTATATCAAGTATTGCAGCTACACCAGAAAGCGCATGGGCAGAGATGGGGATGTTTAGAGGCTTCAGTGCAGTGTCCGAGTTTCCAAGGGCGTACACTAAGGGAGCTAATGCCACATCATATGTTGAGAGAATTGGTCAGATCAGATTTGGTTCAGGACTCCAGAAAATAATTCATTTTTTGCATTTCCATCCAGTAGAAATAATTTTAAAACAACATTTTATGTACACAAAGTGACTGTATCTTTTCTTGCAGAGTAAGTATACTTACTCTGCAAAAACTAAAACACACTTATGCCAAAAAAGAAAATCTTCAAGCGTGCATGCTGTTGTCACAAATCACACCGTTGCAGCCTCTTTGCGTTCTGGCTACCTTAAGCATATAAAATATCAGCATTCATAAAGCCAAAACCCATGAGAGTTGGTTGCCTGTGGTTTTGAACATTTCAGAGGAGGTTTATTTGTGTGATAGGTGTAGCTTCAACATCACGGCATTTGGCTGGTCAAGAGGATCTGCTTGATTCAGGTCTGTGGAAGACCCAGATTCTGCCTCTGCTGAGCTGCAGTAGGTTCAGCCAAATGGGGAATTGATTACGATGTTGGGTCACGCTGAGCTCTTGAATTTTGGCAGCTCATCATCTTTAATGCTTGCCTGGATGGGTCAGTGCCCAGAAAAGACTGCTTTTAACTTGGTTTTTGCTTGTTGACATTGCTGAGACCAGCGAGAACTGCCTGTGTTGTTTGCTCACTTCTCCCCTCTGTGGGAATGGACATGGAAAACCACAACAATCTGTGGGGCCCATGCAGATATTTCACATCATCTGTATTTCTCTGTTTAAAAACATCAGTCCTCAGGCAGAGATGTCATCAGCGTTGCTCATCATCACAGGCAAAAGCTCAGGCAGATGCTTTATCTGGGAGCATGAGGGGAGATGCTTCCTGCAGTGGGGTGGTCGCTTGGTACCTGACGGCTCGCTGGGAGCTGGGGCTCGCTCCCTCGCACTCCGGTGGTCCTCTGGGGTCATGCGGAGCATCTGGTTATGGCTGCGAGCTCTGGAAAGGCCGTTCCTACTGTTTAAGAGAACTTCCATTTGTAATCAGTCTCGTGATTGTTTTCTATGCATGTTGACTTCTGGAGCCTGTTTTGTTTGCTGGAGAGAATAAGAAATCATTTTCATTGAGGTGCTGCTGCCAAGAAGTTGCATTCCTAGGAAAGCAAGCCCCAAGCTCACTAGCGTTTATTTTCAACAGCACTTTTTAGCAGATTTGCCTGGTCATAAAGATGCTGGTATTAATTCCATCTTCCTGCCCTAAGATGTGTGTGTGTGTTTGCTGGAGGCATCTTTTTTAGCAACTCAGTTCCTTTTTAATACGTAGGGTTTACTTCATGCTACATTGCAGTTGCTGGCAGTCTATTTTTTCCTCAGATAACTGTGTTTGGAGAAGCCTTTGTGACCTTCATTCTGCTGGTTGTATCGTTGGTACCATTGCCTTGGCTTGCTCTTTGTTTGCTTACGCTCAAGGAAACATTTTGCAGGAAGAGGAAGGAAGGTAAGCAGTGATTTTTACTTTCCCCTGCACGAATTCAGCACGCCAGGACATCTTCGGGTGGTCACCTTGCTAAACTTTTATTTGCTGGGCTGTTGCAGTGAGTGCTTGTTGGTCCAGGGGAATCAAGCCAAGGAGGAGGGGCTATAGTGCTCCAGACCACCCCTTTGTTGGACAAAAGAGCTAAAGGGAGTGTGAACAGTTGTGATTGCATGCCTGATTGTGGCAGTTAGACTTAATTGGAGCAGTTCTGGCTTTCGAAGACCAATGCACTACCACAGTGAAACAGCTTCGTGTTCTCTTGCTGGAGCTGTAGGAATGGGAATTAATGTTTCAAAAACTCCATGTTTATCTGGCATGGGCTGTTGGGTCCTCTAAACTGCCAGGGATTGAGGAGGAGGGAGGATTTCTCACCTGGACGTTCCATTGTTGCCTAAAGTAGGTGATTTGCAGTGCTGAGGCGAAGCACTGGCAGCTACTGTGGCCATTTACGGTCTGGAAAACAGGGATGCTGCTTTGCTCTGTGTTAATGAGGGAAATGTGCTGCGGAATGTAAATTTAGCAGCAGAACAAAAAGTGGAAGCAGGAATTTCTGCAGCTGTATAGCTGGTTCATGTGTGTTTGTAGATTTATAGTGGGAAGCAAAGTTAATCCTTGTAAATACCTTTAGAATTATAATCCTAGTAAAACACTGAACTTCTCCAAAGGAACAGACACTACTGTTTTGGAGGCAAAGTTTGTATTGTTTTAAAAGTAAACATCTGCTTGTATTATTTTCTGATCTGTTTTTTGTTTGGCTTTTTAGAGAGTTGTTTGGTCTGGTGATTATTACAATATGGATGAGTCTTTGTCGCAATTCAGCAAAGTAAGTTTTGTTTTTTCTTTAATCCATTTGTATGTTCACATTTAGGGACTAGCTTCTTTAAAACGCATAGCTGCTTTTGGCTGCTTGTTTTTCTGCTTCCTGTCACTGTCTAAACTTTCTCAGGTACCTAGGCAGTAGTCGCTGGCGCTACAGCCTGTAGGATCTTGTACAGATAAAAGTCTGTAGGAGGAAAGTAAAGCTACATGAAACATTTTTTTCTGTTCCCCTACCATAATGGGCAGGGGACATTCTCCCTTTGCGTAAGGACAGCATGCCCCTTCTGTGGAACAGGCTAGTGAGTGTTGGCCACAACTGCTGATGAACTGCAAAACCATTTCTGCCATTGCTCCCAATTTACAGAAGTTTCTAGTGAGTGTCATAGAATCATGGAATACTTTGGGTTGGAAGGGACCTTTTAAGGCCATCGAGTCCAACTCACCTACAACAAGCAGGGACATCTGCAACTAGAGCAGGTTGCTCAGAGCCCCGTCCAACCTGGCCTGGGATGTTTCCAGGGATGGGGCATCTACCACCTCTCTGGGCAACCTGGGCCGGGGTTTCATCACCCTCATGGTCAAAAATTTCTTCCTTGGATCTAGTCTAAATCTGCCCTCTTTTTTTTAAAAAAACCATCACCCCTTGTCCTATCGCTACAGGCCCTGCTAAAAAGTCTGTCCTCATCTTTCTTATAGGCCCCCTTTAAGCCCTGGCAGGCTGCAATAAGGTCTCCCCGGAGCCTTCTCTGCTCCAGGCTGAAGAACCCCAACTCTCTGTTGGGTCTCTGTACTGGTGTCTGCTGTGTCCACCGGAGCAGGCAGGTGATGCATGCAGAGCTGGCAGAAGGCTCTGAGCGGCTGCCTGGCTGCAGTGGCTCCACGCTTTTCCCCTCCAGCCTCTTCAGAGGACTGTGGTACAGCAGTTTTGCTAAATTCCTCTTAGCTGGGAGCATTAAAAATTCCAATCTGCCAAAAATTACCTTTGTGCTGGGAAACATTTCACAGATGCTCAGGGCAAGCAGGGTTCTCTGTTTGTTTGTTTGTTTGTTTTTTAATCAGGTTTATGTAGCCTAAGGTGGCAGAAAAGCTTTTTCTGCTGGCATGCGGTGCCTCTCCAGTGAAGGACTCTGCTGATGTATCCACAGGAACTACATTAAAGTGGCCAAAGGCTCTCTGCTGTCTTTCCAACTGCAGCCAGGTGTCAATGTTTCTAGCAGTCTGATTTGAAGTAGCTGTGTTGCATTTGCTTTGTTATAGGAGTCCGCTGAGTGGAGTTCGCTTGATTGCTGCAGTTGTGGTCGCCCTCTTCCCCTTTGTTTCGTGGCTGTACATTTACGTGAACAAAGAGATGCGAGCATCTTGGCCAATGCACTGTAAAACGGTCATTTAATTGGGTGGAGAAAGTGTAGAAAAAATATTCTGACCTTACTTGCCTTTGCTTTTGGTTCTTAATGAGAGGTTAGTATCAATTTGCTAGGACTCAAGAGTGCCTGGCTCCTTCCATCAGTGAGGTTTGAGATTTGTCAAAAAAATTAGGGAACACTGTGAAATCTGAGTGGACAATTTTTTTAATGGAAACTGTTGTTCAGCTGGCTGCTTCATACATTTTCAAAGCGCTGTTGATCTAATATGTCTTCTAATGGTATATTCAAGATATCCTGGCATCCCTGGATCAGTCTCCAACCACCTCGTACTTTGGGAAATCTTACTGTTGTGTAACGTAAAGGGAAAAAAAAGTAAAGCAAACACTTTGTTTCAATATTTGTTTCAATGACTACTTACAGCCATAAAACTTGCAGATATCTTCCGGATAGTCTATTGAGACCAATTGAAAAATTGAGCAGTCTGTGTTTCTGTTCCTATGCTAAAATCATATGTAGAATGTATCTGAAGAAATACTTTTGCTATTATCTTTAAATGAAAATTACTGCTTTTAGAGAGTAATAAATACTATTTTTCTAAATAAAATACAATGAAAGCTTCCATATCTTTTTTTTTCTGTGCAATGTGTAGTCAAGACTGCCACTAGCAGACACGACCATTATCACAACTCTGCTTCTCATAGAATTTCTGTTCCCAGAAAGCAGAACCCCCAGAGCAGCCCAGCAACCGTAAGCACATTCCACTGCTACTAATCCTGAAGGAGGTACAGGTGAATACACTGGACACACAAGCTGGCTGGGAAAGAGCCAGAACAGGTCCAGATGCAGCACAGCAATATGCTTTAGATCCTCCCATGTCAGGGCTTCTTTGCTCAGTACTGCTGCAGGCTAGTACAGCTGTGCACACATAGATCCCAGAGGGTGTGCATTACCTGATGTAGCATAGATGATCTCCATTTTCCTTGGCCTTAGCTTTTTTTGAAGATTACTTTAGTCTTTTAAAGCAATGTTGAGAAGATTGCATTAGGCTACAGGGTGGACTAATTCTGCCAGAGATGAGACATTACTGACTATGATTTCAAAAAAAAAAAATTGAAATGCAGCTGGGCAGGTACAATTCTGCATGCTTTAATTCTGACTATTAAAAAAATGGATTTTTTTTGGATGATATTCATAATATGGTTTGCATTTTTTCACAGTAAGTACAACAATCCAGTCAGGACGGGGTGTTTCAAGTCAACATTCTGCATTCAAGTATATTTATTTCAAACATGGTTACTGGCCTTCTCTATTCTCCACAAAGAAACTAGGTCTGTTTTCTTACAGAAGCAATACCTAAAATTCTGTATCTGAGAGAAAAGTGTTTGAGTTAAAGCTATAAGGATCAGCCACGCGCATCTTTCTACAACCAAATAAGCTGGATCCCCTGCTTTTTTGTCCAAGTACTTCCTGAAGAGCAATTCGTATTTGCTTACTATTTTCAGAAATGCATAACTCTGTCTGAAATTCTGCCCCTTCCCTTTAGTATCATTTTATCTTCATAGACATAAATAGTTCCAAAGGCATTGCTTTTTGGTGGAGTTTCAATAACACCCTCCAAAGTCAGATGATGAACTCCATGAGAGTCTAAACAATAGCCACCATCATGCAGGTGCCCTGCAAGAAAGCAGACCACGCACTGATGGGAGTGTATGACTGAAAGGGCATCTTCATAATTCCAGGCTAGGCAAACTCTGTCTGAAGCATCTGGATGAATGGGCAGATGACCTGCAGTTGAGAGGGAAAGAAGCAGGAGAGTTACTTTAAGCATAACCAAACTCAGTCTTCATTACTGGGAAGTTCAGACATCTAACTACACAGAAAGCTCACCCGAGTGTGAGACATAGTTGCTATTCTCCTACTTCACAGATTACATGGACACCTCAGTGGAGCTACAAAGCTGCTGCGTGTTTTGCTCAGCTAACATACATTGACTACATAACTTTTTTTTGCATTTATCCCCATATATCCCCCCCATCCACCTACCCATAACTACAACTTTTTCTTGGTTTTCATCAGCGAACTTGAGGACTTCATTGAACCAGTCCAGCTGGGCTTGGCTAAATCCTCCGTTAAACTCTACAAACTGAGGTTCTTTGAGTCCTGCAATGAAGAAGAAGGTTAAGCATAGGTGTATACCCCTCTTGTGGCTCCCCTATTTCCTTGCCATGTGTAAATCTGCTTACGATAGATGGTTTAGTCTTACAACCTTTTCTTTTTGCATGTCTTGGATCAAAATTCCAGCCTCCTTGGACAAACAAGAGAAAATTATTTGTAAGTGTTTTCAGGGGCTTTGGTCATGCTGCATGCACAGGATTTACACTCTTGAGTTCCACCCTGGCGTGGGATAGGGTGTGCATCACTCGGCGCTCTGTGATAGCAGCTGCACCAACAGCTGCCTTTTGTGCTGGTATGGCAGAACACACAGCACAACATAAACCCATCCCACCAGAGCATCATGACGGGTATGGGGGAGCATGTCCTGTGCCTGCCTAGAGACCCACTGACCAGCTCTTAGCTAACAGCAGGGAGGCAGAGGAGGTGGGCAGGAGTAGGACACGTATCTCAGCCCCCTGGAAACCAGACGTCAGCCTAATCACCCTGGGAAGTGGATGCTCAGCCGCCCACACTCCCTGCTGAAGGGTCAAGCCGGGGGGTACCTGCAGGACTGTTGAGGTTGTCATTGGGGTTCTTCTCCC